TTTTTGGCTGATTTTTTTTGTGGATAAACTAGACTTGATGGAGAACATGCCATAAAAATTTCATCAAAAAATTCCACCGGGAAGGCGGCCAAACGCCGCCGGCCGGACGGCGGTTCCTGTCCGGACGTCTGGACAGGATCAGGACTCTATATATATATATATATATATATATATATATATATATATATATATATATATATATATATATATAATTTTTAATGTCGACAATAAGGTGAGCATAATGATCAAAATCCATTAAAATTTATAGTAATATTTTTAAACAATACATACAATGTTCGAAACTATATGCCTTTTGTGTTGTTGGATAGTATTCCAACCAATTAAATTCATTGAACCAACTGACTTGAAAATGATGTATCCTATCGTTGTAAAGTCGGCCTTTGTAAGAGTTCAATTTCGGTTCATCTCTTTTCTCTAACGGCCAATCACTTACTGTTTTTTCGTTTTACCAGATCCCGCTCGATTTCAAGTGCATAAAAAATTACTTCCTCTTGAGCAGATGAGATATTAGGAATTTCAAATGAGACATTTAACTTTTGTCTACTTTATGTGCTTGTACCCAACTTATAAAACGAACACAATGTGATTTTTGTCTTTTTCGAAGTGGAGTGAGTAGCCATACTCATGTTTTATTAAAAAATCGTCCCAAACTTGCATCAAAATCCTTTGTATTCCTAAATTTGGATCCATTAAAATCCACTAAGGTTCGGATCTGAATTTGAGTCTATAGTTTGAAAGACTTTCGTAGTAGGTTTTCATTCAAATACTAATTTCATTTATATTTGTGCAAGACAAAGCAAGTAAACTTGTCAATGTTATCAAAACTATTACATATTCATCCTTTCCAAAAACACTTTAAAAATGACTACCTCCTAATCAATTGTAATAATTCTACTCTAGGCATTACTAAAAAACTTGAAACATCACATTATACTACTAGTAAGTGAATAAGAGTTATTCTTGTGTATACATAATTGTTTCAATGTAAGTGTAAAGCTCAACTTCTAAATTCAACGATTATAAATGAAAATTACTTGCATATTTATGTAAAATCAGATTATTTGTAAGGTTGAATCGCATTGATGGATGCGGTGATACCCTTCTTTGGCTTGGCTGCTCCAATTCTTTTCCTTCCATTACTTTAGAGGTTGAACTGTTTTAAACAATTACACTGGGCCGGTTTTATTTTGCACCGGACCACTTTCTAAAAGACAAATTAAACTATATGCTCCTATATAATATTAAAAGAAATTTGCCCTGGGCCATGGCCCAGCCAGGCCACCCCCTTCCTCCGCCCCTGCTTGCTACTCCAAATAAAAAAAATTACAAATAAAAAATTCGGCTTCACCAGCCGCCACCGAATTGAAAACGGATAATTGATTTGAGTTGCAACTAACAAAGATACTCTATCGAGCCGAAACTGTCTGAATCATCAGTTTGACAATCCAAAGAAAAGGAGATCCAGTTGAGCGCTTTCAATTTCTTGAAGTGGGGCGGTGGTTCAAGTATCAATGTTTCAGTCATATTTAAGAAATTAACTCTATTATTATTAACTCATAAATCCCCCCCCCCCCCTCCAATGATATGATCATTCTAAATCGTTTCACTTTTTTAACTCCAGGGGGCGTCTGGAGGAGGAGGGTTGGGGGCCTGGATTAATCAGGGTTAAAACTCACTCCATTGAGTTTCGAACCCGGGACCTCCCGTAAGGGAGGTGAGTCAGCGACCAGCTGGGTTGGAGCGCTTCCTCAACTAAATTGTTTCATTTTCAATAGCTAAATCATTCATCTTCTATAAGTTCTCATCTTGAGGAGGACATTCAAAACTTGATTCTTTACACAAACTAACTATTCCATTAAACCTTTTTTACTTGGCGCCTCTTCCTATAATATTATTCTTCTCTTTTGTTCTTTATCATATCTAGATTCAGTCATTTTTATTACACCTTGAAATTAATTAAAATTATAAATTTATTTATAATTGAATATTTTTGTCTAACAAAATCAATAAATTATAACACCAACACTCTAGATAAAAATCAACAATCAAGAAATCAAACAATCAACTATGAATGAAATCAATTAATAATCATATCACACTACTAGATTTCTAATTGGAATCCTTTTTATGAAATTTGTGAGCATGTTTTTCATCAAGTGTAGTATATGACATGTATTGTGAGATTTTTTTTTATATACACAAAATTTCAATTTAAAATTCAATTGAGAAGTCAATACAATTTAATAAATTATTGAAAAATATTGCGCCAAAATATGCATAAAATGCATTGTTTTTCAATAATTTTTTAACAAACTTCAAGATTGAATTTTAAATTAAAATTTTATAAATATAATCCACACTTCATAGATCACGTGCTCATAAGTTTTCATAAAAAAATCCACACATAATTCTATTGAATCGATCGAATTCACATACATGTCACATGTGGGATATTTATAATTCCAGTCTGAAGTGTCTGACTATAAACACTTCACACGTTTTATTTGATTCCTGAAATATCGTGAAGAACGTTTATTGCATTAGAAGAAGTTCAATAAAACAATCACTTTGACATGAGATATACGAATTATATAAGAATTAAAAGAATTCCACACTCATCCGTATAGTAGAACGAAATTTGATTTGTATACATTGATGAATGATGATTGTACATTTGTACTTGTAAAATTTCACATATCATTTCAATTCATACGAAGTCTATATACAATTAGCAAAGCCATGGACTGGAAAATGAGAGTTACTCTAAATAATACCCTAAATAATACGGAGTAGTACATACTCCCTAGGTCTATTATAACTTTGTCAATTTTCTGTTTTTTATTTTCCCAAAAACATTATCACTTTTTTTTAATCAATTAATTTGTGACTCCTTTTATTAACAAATTCATTCAAACACGCCTATATATAACACATGGATACTAGTACCAATTAAACCATGTGTAAAGGGATTGGGCCATCGGGTTTAGTTGGACATTTATCAGTTCGAGCCCGAAGGCTGAAGCGCATGCTGCCCGCTTTTGGTGATCATATTTGGTCCGGGAACCTCGCAAAAAAAAAAAAAAAAAAAAAAAAAAAAAAAAAAATATTTGGTCCGGGAAACTCCCTCCGTTGAAATTCGTTGACCGTATTGTAGTACTCTCTGTATTTGTATGTGAAACCAATGATATTTTTTGTTGCGAGGGCAGCCAATGCTATTTTGCAGGAGTGAAGTACATGTGATTAAGAAAATATGGTGTACTCCAAATAATTAAAAGTTAATGGGAATCTAGATGCATTCCATTCGAATTTGACAAAGAGATTTTCAAATCCCATCAAAGTATGGAGATTCAGATTTTAAAAGACGAATAGATTTTAAGGATATTCAAAATATCAAACCAATGGAATTCTAATATGAGTATTATTTATTCTTGTTGACTTCGAGGTGTTTATTATAAGTAAATAGTACCAACTCTATCCTTGGCATTATTTGTTTTTTTTTTACCTCATGCGGTTGGGGTGAGGGCATTGAGGGAGCTTGAGTCAACTGAGATCAAACTCACTCAATTAAGTATTGAACTGATACCTCTCATGAGGGAGAGTGAGTCAACGACGAGCTGATCGAGATGGCTTCCTCATTCTATCCTTGGTGTTGTTAAAGTGGTTCCTAATTAACATCAAGAGTATTCTAGATTCGTAATCATTTTAATATTTTATAATTGGCCCTAAGAATTTTATTAGTGGCCTGAGATAAATATATAAAAAATTCCATTATATTAATACTATCATATTACTTTTAAGATGTGGTGGACAGAAATACTACGTATTACTTAGTAAACTTTAGTGACTATAATTGTGTTCAAAATTTACACCATAGTCACTTACAGTAGGTACTATGGTGTAAACTTTGAATACAATTGTAGTCACTAATATAGTTACTTAGTACTCCGTAAAAATTTTGTCCACGTCCTTTTTATTAGTAATATTTAAGGAAACCCGCATAAATATATCAAATAAACTCTATCCGGAATAACTTAAATAATCAATGTGTTTGTGTGTTTGTTTGGGTGAAGTTTTTTCTAAAATATAACCCCTGGGCCAGTTTAAGGTTCTCACTTTCATCTTTTGGATGTCTCAATTGAAGATTCTCATTTCTATTTTAAGAAAGAATTAGAACTCTAAAATCACAATTTAATCATCAATATTAAAAACAATAGATTTTTATAACATCACAATTATTATCAATGACCTCATTATTTTATAAGTTAAAGTTATTTCTCAAAATATACTCGAATTACCTTATTTAATTCACTACAAGAAAACATGGCAATGGCGACGGAATTTTCTGTAGCAATACATCGAAATTCCGTAGCAAAACTTAATTTGCGACGGATTTGCGACAGAATTGTATCTGAAGCCCCCAGCTTTGTAGCGATTTGAGTCCCGACAGAATTATTCAGTCGCAAATACACACGACAGAATTAGCTATAGAAATAAGGGGTAGCCTCTTTGCAATGATAACATTCTGTTGCTATCCCGTCGCACATGTCCTGTCAACCATGGTTAAAACAAAGACGATGAATTACTTTTTCGTAGCTAAATCTGTCGTTATTATGCAGTTTTTACCAAGGTTAGATGCTACAACGGAATTAATTTCTATCGCCATATCCATCGCAAATTTACTAGGAATTTCAATCATATTTTCGACAGTAAAACAAATGTTTATTATCATCGCAAATTATATTCATATACAAATAGAAATCTATAATTAAAATTCTAATATAATTACACTGAAACAAATAATGAAATACTCATATTCATCGCAACAAAGGTTGTCATTTAAATACAATAAAGTTTACTAAAATGTATCAACAAATCAATGCAACAAGTTCTACTTTACTAAACGTCATGCAAATATATAAAAACTAAACTATTTGTAGATGAATGAATATTATATTGGTTTTCATGAAATCCCTGCACTCCTCCCATTGTCCATATCATTGATTCGCTTCTCCAAAACACGAATATAAGCCACAGCATCCTTCACATCATTCTTCAACTCATGGATCTCATTCTTCATATTCTCGACATCAGCATTTTGTGACTGCTCACTAGTTGTATGTGCCTCCGAAGAATTGCCTGGAATAGGGACTGAACTGCCATACGAACCCAATCCATAAATGTTTCCTTGCTTGTCATGTCCTCCAACAGATTCATAGTATATTTCATTATCATTCACATTCTCTCCGGCTTGAGACAAAAACTCTCGCTGTAACTCAACTTCATCCTGCATAGTATATAAGTATGTATATAGTTCATAATTGCTATCATCAGTATATAACACAACATAGACGCACATGTAAAACATGGTATTGCTAATTGAATTCATTCAACCAAACTCATTCAAATAAAAAACTTACATGAACTTTTTGTGCCTTTTCACCAATAAACGTTTCCTCATCGTGATTAGTCGTATGTGTATAGGTGAATAATTCATAAAATGTCACCGTGCGTCCTCTTTTCCGCTTCTGCATATACAGTATCCATTTAATATAGTGTATATTACATTAAAAATATAACAATTAAAAATGACAGAGTTTCCCTGCATATGCCATATTTTCCTTGTTAAAATGCAGCAATAAACGACTCCAAATCATGTATCTTATACATACTTACTGCTACAAACCAGTTTAAGCAAGCCATCACCAATATGTTTATACTTTCTTACGGCTTAAACGTTAAAGCAAAGAACTATGGACAATGAAATATATATATATATATATATATATATATATATATATATATATATATTTCAACATGCAACAATAAAGGCCCTCAAATCAAATATCTTTTACATGCTTACTGGTTGCAAAGTCAATGAAAGTCTTCAATCCATTCACAAATATGGGGTTAATATGGCCACGCTCTGTTCTTCTTTCATACATCCAAGTCCGGTTTGTAGTGCTCATTATGAAATAACTATTTTACCTATATTTTACCAAATAAATAGAGCTTTCAAGATTCAATGCATTCCTATTAATATCCTAACAAGGAAAGCAATTAATCATGACAAGCTAAGCACAATCATGTCTCTTCACTAGCTAAAACCTTAAAACATACTTCGTATATAGTTGTGATATTCAAATACTTTGTATGAAGCAACTGTAATGTATGCTTAAAGATACTATGCTCTATAGCCTACATAAGGCTTTAAAGTTGCACTACAAAAAAAATAACCAACAGCATTATATTTACATACTCAAGCAATTGTACTAAAGTTATGGCTAGATGTATATAGCTTGACAACTCCGAATGTCGATTCCCAGTTCGAGAAACGGGCAAGAGGGAGCTCGAACTTTACATAACATATGGGGTTCAACTCTGATTTCGGAACCGACAATATCAGTTTGATTTTGGCAGTCTTAATTTTAATTTAGTATTTTAGTTATTATAATTTATAAAACTCAATATCATAACTAACGTTATGAAAATTAGGGCGTCCAAAAATAAGAAATACGGAGTAAATAGATCTCTTTCGTCATTACCCCTGCCAAGCACTTGACTTGTAAGGTAGAATCTAGAAAGTCAAAATTTGCCAATGAATAATTGAACCATACAGATTTGTTCTTAATCGATTTAAAAATCTATTTGTATAACATATTTAGCCTATTTAGCCCTGTAGTCGGAATATTCCGCTGGACAAAAATTGTAGATACACACTAGAAATTATGGGTTTAAACATAGTTTAAATTCATTGTTTGAATTCTTGAACACAAAAAATCAAAACAATCAGTGATGCAAAGATGAATGAAATTAAGTTTCGAACAGAATATTAACCATAATAGATCACAAGTATTGAACATTAATTAACACAATAATGTGTAATGAAAAATTATTGAAATAAAAAACCTTATAGCTAGTGAGGAGGATAGCCGGAAAGGTGATAGCGCCCAGATAGAACTTCCCGATTGCCTCTGTTGCTGGAGCGGTTGGATAATACTCTGTCACTTTGTCGAGAAAAAAACTGGAGAAAGAAGTTCACCACGTTTGAGAATGTGGGGAGCTAAAGAGATGACTCCAATAAAAGAGGCGCTAAAAGTTTCACTTTCCCTCCGGAGTCAAATTGTTTTAGGGTTGAAATTCAAAATAACTAATTTAGACTCAATTACAGTTTTTTACTTGCTTTTCGTTTGTAGTTTGTCTAAAATAAAACATCATTTATTTACGGGTACTTTAGAGAGATTTGCTTCCTTTATTCTATTATTTTAATTATGGTAGAGAGGTTTACTTTCTTTATACTATTGTTTTAATTATGGTAGTGCGTCCATTATCTTAAAACGTAATGTATCTTTTTACTCTGTCATTTTTAAATTTGAACTTGGCAAATCATTTAATAAAGTTGAAAGAATATTGATAATTTGATATTATTTTCGAATAATGGAAACTTTCCAATCGTATACTTTTAACACTCCTTAATATTCTTTAAAAATGAAATGTTCAAATGGAAACATTATAAAATTTGAAGCATGAAAAAGTTAGTTTATCTAAAAGTTTATAATTTGATCTAGTCACATATGTTAAAATGTACGGTCTTTTTATTGAACTAAAATTTTATGTTTTGGTTTGGTCTGGTCTGATTTGGCATGGTCTGATAGATTGATGTTTGATGTTTGTGTATTATAACTATTCAAGTCTGGTTTGGTCTGGTCTGAGACAAAAAACGATCCAAATAAAAACATTCTTGATCCAGTCTGAATCGGTCTATTTTATATTATTGGTCTGGTCCATAATATTACAGCCATTAAATTCTGATTTGGTTTGATCTAATTTGCTTAAGATTGGTCTGGTCCACTCAGATTTGGGAATGGTTTCAATCTAATTAAATACATCCTTATAATTACAAATTAAAATATATTTTTATGAACTATGTTAAATGTTCTAGAAATAAAAAATTGATGAATCATACGTAAAATTAGAGATCGAAATTAAGTGAACTCCATTAATATGTAAATAGTAAATTTAGAATGTCACTTTAAAACTAAATTAGTACGAAGCATAGTACAAAATATAGTTTTGAAGGCAAGTACAGAACATACACTAATTTAAATGTTATAAAATTGAGGGTACAATATTTCATAGTACTGTACCGTTGCAAGATGCAAAATACAATTTAGGCTGTATACTAATATCCCGAATAAGATTTGTGTTGCAATTTTTGTATGAAGAGATACACTTCAAAAGAAATTGCGATGGGATGTATATTTCACAATTTCTAAAGCAATAATAAACTAAAGTTATCTCACCACGGTTAAACAATCGACTCAAGTTAATTCTGACGACGACGGAAATTAATTATGTAGCGAATTTGGTCACAAAGTGTTACTACGGAATTAGTTTCAACGCTAACACAGTTGTTAAATTATTCCCCCAAAACTTGGCGCCAAGTTTTTTCGCAATTTGGTGAGTTTTGCAACCCAAATGTATTCGGTCGTCAATTACGTAGTCAAATTGCTATGGAATATGTGTCGTAGCAAATTCCATCACAAAATAGCTACGGATTTTGTTTTGTCGTTACATTCAGTCGCAAATTTGGAATTTTCTTGTAGTGATTATTTTCTTAGTAATTGTGTCATTTTGCGATGAAAATCTTAAGCTAAGGCGACACAAAGGTAGTACTAAATAGTTAACTAGGAGTACAATGCGACTAAAATAAGTATGAGCATTACTAGAAAAAGGTATTTTAACAATGGAAAATTCATGGGGTACCTCTGTAAATGGAGGATTGGAGGTAATAGTGATCATATGGAATTATATTTGAAATATGAGGTAGAGGCAATGTTCTAAAAGGCGTAAGGCGTGCCGAGGCGGCGCGACCAAGCCTTAAGCTTTTGGAGCCTAGGCGGGATTAGGCGGGGCTTAGGCGTGAAAATGCGTTTTGATTCTTTATCCTTTATTTTAGATTTCATAGAGCTGTTTTAAATATTTAAATTTAATATTAAATAATGTTATTAAAAACATTATACTTTTCTCATTTTCAACAAAAAAAGTTTTTTCCAGTCATTAATCTAACAAATAGGGAGTATAAATTTACCAATTAGAAAAAAATAGAGTTTAAAAAAGCAATGTTGCACGGAAACGCAGAAATTATGAGGAAACCGGAAACGTCAGCTTATGTTCAAAAAATGCTTATTTGGAGAGTTTCCAAAGAGTTTTCGAGGATTTCCGAAACGGGAAACGTACTCTTTCCTGAGTGTTTCAGTGATAAATAGTAAAAAAGCAGTTCAATGATAAAATATTAATAAAAATAAATAAAACCTAATATATGATTAAAATAAGGACAATAGATAAAAATGTGACTTGAGATTGACTTTTTTAAGTATGTCAATTTAATATTATATAATACGTAATACCCCGTAGTATCGTCTAAGATCAACATTTTTTCGAACTCCCAACAAAAATAATTTTGTAGTCCACAATAAAATTTGAAAGAGTAGTTGAATGATAATATAATAATTTTAATAACAATTATTACAATAAATAAATAGTTCTTATCTAACACTGATTCTAATAATTAATTTTTTTTACTGAAAAACATACTTAATAGTTAATATAAAATAAAATAATAAAAGGTATAAAAGTGGTAATAATACGTACCAATATAATAAAATAATAAAAAGTTAGAATAATAATATAACAATAACAATAATAGTTATGATATTAAGTGGTAATAATACAAAATTAGTGCGAAGTACTAGTAATAATAACAATACTTCACATTTAGCTTCAATGAATGAATGAAAAATGTACTCCGTAACATGCAAGGTCTCTAAGTCTCTGTTCCCTTTTGTTCACATTTCCCACACCGGAGAAACTGAACAATTCATCCTTGCACTTCGCCTATATAATGCTCCACTCATTCGCATTGATATACGGGACTACTTCAAGTGGCCTTAATATAAGCTGTATAGCAGGCCTTGTGTAGCTCCATAGTATAATTTTTATTTCAATTTTGATTGGGCCGCCTTTTGGCCCGCATAGTAGGCATGCGGGGCGTTTTCAATACGCCTTGGGCCTTGGCTTGCCTAGGCGCCGCCTTTTCCGGTGTTTTAGAACACTGGGTAGAGGCTACTGGGTAGAGGCTAGCAGATGGCAACAAAAAAAAGTTTATAACAACATCCAAGCCTTAGTTCCAAACGATATTGGGGTCGGCTAACATGAATCGATATATGATATCACCAAAAGGAAAAAGACGAAAATAAAGATAAAAAAGATAAGCTATTATAAAAAAGATAATATAAAAGAGATGAATATACATATAAAAGATCAAATAAAAAGGATAAAGTAATATTTATATATAAGGATAAATATATATATATATATATATATAAAGAGGAGAAAAGATGATGGAAGATCACTCTTCCACACGAATATCCACCCTCCATTTTGCTCTCTCCAAAGCCATACTCTCATCCAATCCAAGAAGAAGCATATCACTTCTGACTCCCCTAACTCACGTCTGTTTGAGTCTTCCTCTCCCTCTCTTCCCTACCTCTTCTCCACACATCTCAACTCGTCTGACAGGTGCATCACTCGGTCTTCTATGCACATGACCAAACCACCGTAGGCGTGACTCCCGCATCTTATCTTCAATAGGTGCTACTCCCACCCTTTGCCTAATTGTCTCATTCCTCACGCGGTCCTTTCTAGTATGCCCACACATCCAACGCAGCATGCGCATCTCTGCCACACTTATCTTTTGAATGTGACATTGTTTCACCGCCCAACACTCCGTGCCATACAGTAATGCAGGCCTCATTGTTGTCCTATAAAATTTACCCTTCAGTCTAGTCGGCATACCTCCCGACGCACTCTTCCACTTCATCCACCTTGTTCTGATTCTATGGGATACATCTCCATCTAACTCACCGTCCTTCTGAATTATGGAGCCCAACGGAACATATCGCTGACCGGTATATCCTTACCATCTAAAGTAATTCCGCTATTACCACTGCTTCTACCTCCACCAAACTTGCACTCCATGTACTCTGTCTTGCTTCTACTTAGTCTGAAACCCTTGTTCTCCAATGTCTGTCGCCATACTTCCAACTTTGCTTTAACCCCTGATTGCGTCTCATCAATCAATACAATATCGTTGGCAAACATCATGCACCACGGTATATCGTCTTGAATTGACTTTGTAAGTTCATCCATGACTATGGCAACAAAAAAGTTTAAGTTTGAAAAATCTTTACTAAAGGAAAACGACGGTTCTAGGAAGCTATGTGCTAGGGAGTTTTTGGTGGAGTAATAAGAAGACCTTAACACCAGATATATTCATAATTCTATTAAGCAGCGACGTTTGAACATTATGAAAGGGTCGTAGGACTTAAAAAAGAGAAGAAATCATCATGTCAGGCCGGCCTGATCGGGAGAGCAGTCCGGCCGAGCCCTTTTGGCGACCTTCCCGGTGGAATTTTTCGATGAAATTTTTTTAGCATGTTTCTCATCAAGTTTAGTTTGTCCATACCAAATTTCAGCTCAAAATTCGATCGGGAAGACATTCAAATCTGTTTTTGAAGTTGACTGCGTTTTTATATGTATATTTTGACGCAGTCAACTTCAAAAAAAGATTTGAATGCCTTCCCGATCGAATTTTGACCTGAAATTTGGTATGGACAAACTCGACTTGATGAGTAACATGCTCAAAAAATTTCATCAAAAATGTCCACCGGGAAGGTGCCCAAACGGGCTCGGCCGGACGGAGGTTCCCGTCAGGCCGGCCCGACAAGAAGAGTTCTCCCTATCCTATTATAAGGCCTTATTCACAAAGGGCTTAGGAGTCGGTGATCAGGGTGTTGGCGAGCTAATAAGGTGCACGGTGACTATTCATAAAATAAGAAAATTACAGTGCGAAAAAAACGGGAAAAAGATACAAAAAAGAAATGAAGAGAAAAACAAAGACTAGATCCAAGGGAAATCTCTGACTTTTGATCTAGTCGTCATGCTATGACGTCTTTTGTTCTTTTGAGATTTCC